TTTTTTTTTTTTTGGTTTTTTGAGACAGGGTTTCTCTGTGTAGCTTTGCGCCTTTCCTGGGACTCACTTGGTAGCCCAGGCTGGCCTCGAACTCAGAGATCTGCCTGCCTCTGTTATTTTATTTTATTTTTTTTGGTTGCCCTTCTGCTTTTAATAAACCAAAATTTTATGTCACTGCTGAGTTTAAAAAACAAAACAAACTGACTTAAAAACTAAAGCTGGATGGTGTTGGTGCACACCTTTAATTCCAGCACTCAAAAGGCAGAAGCAGAAGGATCTCTGTGAATTCGAGGCCAGCCTGGTCTATAGGAGATCCAGGGCAGCCAGAGCTGTTACACAGAGAAACTCTTGTCTCAAAAAACCAAAACCAAACAAACAAGAAAACTAGACGTTAAGACCCTACTGCTGAAGACACCACAAGCCTGTGTTGCAGGACACAGAACCTGGTGGTAGTGGTAGTGGCATGAGGATAGGACAGACACACAGACTGAAACTGAAACTGACAGATTTTGCAAGGCTGGTGGTCTTGAAATATACTATAAGGTGACATGATCTTGACTTTAAGCCAGTGGGCTGCACTACTGAAAGAATGCTACACATAATCAATTTCTATCAAGAATAGTCTTAAGTTGGTTCTGTGTTGTTCATTATACAAGTTTTCTTAAAGCTTTCAGATCATAAATCAAATTAAAGATAAAAATATATCTTGAGTTCAGATCTAGTAACTGCTAGCAAGAAGGATACTTAAAAATGGGAACATATTTAGCTGTTTTTATATCAAAAAAGGTGAAAGACTTAAGAGCTCTAGAATTCCTATCAATTGTCTTGCCTAGGCCACCAAGTGCTAGGATTACAGGTGTGAGCCACCATGTCCAGCAAGAAATGATATGAAGCTGGATAGGAAAACTAAGAAAAATGAACACCTAGGTAAGTTCTTATTAGAGAAAGCAGACATGCATTATCTGTGTCACAAATGAACATAGGTAAAAAACACATGGCATCAAAGACTAGGGAAGCTGGATATGGTGGTACATGCTTCTAATCCCAGCACCCAGGATTAAGGTCAGAAGTACCTGCTTAGCAAGTTCAAAGTTTAGCTGGGTTATTATCAGTCTCAATAACAAACAAACAAAAACCAAGACAAAAAAGCAATAAGCTGGAGAGATGGTTCAGCAGTTACCTGTGCTTGCTGCTCTATCGTAAGGGCCCTGGTTCAGATCCAAGCAACCAGGTTTGAGAGCTCACAAATGCCTGTAACTCAAGTTCCAAAGGGATCCAATACCCTCTTGGCCAGACACTAGCATATTCACATATACCACAGATACAGTCTTAAAAACACAACAACATAATGAAGACTTGGGAATAGGCTCAGAATGTAACTCAGATGGAAGAGTACTTGCTTAGCATACATGAGATCCTGAGTTCAATCTCTAACACATAGTAAAAATCAGATATGGTAGTTAGTTTACAACTGTCTTTGCAACACTCAGGAGGTAGAGGAAGGTATCCACTTTTTGGATCATTAATCTGAAAACACCCTCAGCTACATAGGCAAGCTCAGGTCCAGCCTGGGCTACATGGCACCCTGTTTTAAACAGACTAATGAGAGGGACAGTAAAGATGAGACAATATTAAAGGAGAGCCAAGCAGGATAGATACAAACTGAGCAGAGACTTACTTTAAATATTAGCCCAATAGAAGACTATATCTCAGGGTGAGAGCATTCAACCAGAAAAACAAAGGACAAGATACCCAGGGGGTTGTTAGTGGATGCTTTTATACATATATCAACACACAGACCTCACCTTTTTCTATGAAAGAACTCGACAGGCAATAGCCATGCTATGAAAACAACTGCTGGACAGAAAACAAAAACTCAACAGAGAGAAGCCACTCCAAAGTAAGTCCTTTTCTTTCCACTGCCCAGCTTTTTTTTTTTTTTTTTTAAATTAAAAACAAAACAAAACTTTTTTTGAGATAGGTCTACATTGGCCTTGAACTTGTGATCCTCTTACCTCATGTCTTAAGTGCTGGAATTACAGAAGACTGCACCATTTCTGGCTTTATAAAATCCTTTAGTTTGAGCTTTTCACTGACAGCAGAGAATTTAAGAAATCTATCTGAATTTTATTTAAAATTTTAGGCATTAGTTGAAAGCATTAAAAAACCCAAATGCTCAACATTAACTCCTCATCCTCATAAGATAGGCAGTTGACTAAAACCCTTCCTACTCTACAGACTGTCTCTCCATTCTGACTGCTTCCTTTGCTGTTCAAACATTTTTAAATTGGAAGTCTCAGAATGACCTTGTTTACGCTGTATCTCTAACACATTTTACCTCTGGCAGTTTCAGGTCTTAAGGTCTTTGATCCAACTGGAACTGAACTTTGTACAGGGTGAAAAACAGAAGTCTAGTTTTCACTCCTCAAAAAAAAACCAATAAATGTACAAATTAACTGAACAAGACAGACAGTTCACAAAAGAACATAGCCAATAAATGGAAAAAAAATAAAGTTAAACATGCTCTACAACTGAGTGTTAAAAGAAGGAAACTATGCCATTTACAATAACATGGGTGAACCCAGAGAAAGTCAAGCTAAATAAAACAAGCCAAGTATAGGAAGACAGATACCACAGGATCTCCTCTATATGGAGAACCCAGAAAAGATGAGGCTTGGACACGGAGTAGAATTAAGGCTATCAGGAGCTAGGTGTGAGTTGTTTAGGAATGGGGGAATGTTGTTGGTTTGAAGATACAAAGCTGCAGGTGGACAAGAGGAATGGACTCCTCGATGTCTTGAGGTCTAGTAAGGAAATGATGACTGTAGTTGATAACAATGTGTTTTAAAAGTTGTAAGGGGATTCTCCCCACAAAAATGGTGAGAAATACAGGTTAATTGGTTTAATTTAGCCATGACATAGTGCACACACTACACTGTATACCATAACTATGCACAACTTTTTTTTAATTTTATTTATTTTATTTTACAATACCATTCAGTTCTACATATCAGCCACGGGTTCCCCTATTCTCCCCCCTCCCACCCCCTCCCCTTATCCCCAGGCTACCCCCCATTCCCACCTCCTCCAGGGCAAATCCTCCCCCCGAGGACTGCGATCAACCTGGCAGACTCAGTCCAGGCAGGTCCAGTCCGTTCCTCCCAGCCTGAGCCAAGTGTCCCTGCATAAGCTCCAGGTTTCAAACAGCCAACTCACGCATGCACAATTTTATTTGTGAGTTAAATAAACGAATAAAAACGTTAAACCCCCTTAACCAAGAAAATATAAACCAAAATTACAAGATTTTATCTTGTCTCAATCAGAGTGCCCATCATGAAGAAAACAAATGACAGCACATGATGGCAAAGATGTACAGAAAACATTGCTGGTGGGGACATAAACTAATACAGTCACTATGGAAATTAGTATAGAGGTTCTTTTTCTGTTTTGCTTTTTTTTAGGAAGTACAGAGGTTCTTTAAAAAAATAAATACAATTAAAATTAGAACTACCACATGATGGGAGTTTTAACACTCCTGAATAAACATTTGAAGGAATTTAAGCCAATATACTCCAGATACTTGCATGTCCATGTTTACATTATTTAAAACAGCCAAGATAAGGAACCAGCCCAGAAGCACACCATCAACAAGTGGATGGACAAAGCAAATATGGTATATATACACAATGGAGTTTTACTCAGTTGTAAAGAATGAAATGTCATTTGCAGGAAAAAAAAAATAGAACAAGGCCAGACAGAGAAGTATGCTTCTTCTTATGCAGAGAATTTAGATTTAAGCAGACCATGAAAGTAGAATAGGGTCTTTATGGGGTGAAGGTTTTTGTTTGTTTGTTTTTTCAAGACAGAGTTTCATTTGACAAATTCAGAGAAAATAATTCCATTATCTATCCTATTGTTGCAAGACCAAAATGTACCTGATTCACTTTCTATCCTAATTTGTATTACTAACATAACTATTTTATAATGTCTTTCAAATTTATACACTTACACCTCTTTAGTGAGTTTCTTTTCTAAAAATGTCTAGTCCATTAACATTTGACAGATTCAGACAAAAAAAAAAACTTCATTATATATATTAACAATGCCCAGTCCAGTAATATTTGATAAATTCAGACAAAAATTACTTATCCTATGTAAAACAAGTAGTTCCTTTTTGAAAGTAGATTCAATAATTGACCTTTTAAATCTTATCATATCCATATTCTCTCTTTTCATAATAGAGTCAATAATCTACCTTTTGTCATTTTTCTATCTTCCCTTTTCTTTTTATTTTAGAGTAGATTCAATGATCTACCCATTTATCCTATTATTTCTTTATCTTTTTCTCAGAGTAGATTCAATGATGTACCTCATATCTATATTCTTTTCTTTCAAACAAAAACTCTGAATCTAATCTCCTTGTTCAGCTTTTTTCCTGACCATTAACAATTAACAACTTGTATCCAACCATCATAAACAATGACAATATCCATAACTCATTAAACAACCAAAAAACCTCCCATCCCACCTCTTGGGAATGTGGGCGTTGTTTTTCCTGACTTTAAAGCCACACTGGAAACAGCCAGGCATGGTGACTCACGCCTTTAATCCCAGAAAGTGATGTCAGAAAGCAGAAAGGTATATAAGGTGTGAAAACCAGGAACTGGGCTGGTTAAGCTTTTAGGTTTTTGAGCAGCACAGTTCAGCTGAGAGGCATCCAGTCTAAGGGAAACAGGATCAGCTGAGAGCAAGGTGAGGTGGCTGTGGCTTGTTCTGCTTCTCTGATCTTCCAGCGTTCACACACACACCCGCTAAAAAAAGACAGAGTTTCTCTGTATAGCCTTGGCTGTTTCTGACTTAGAGATGTATGTGCCTGCCTCTACCTCCCAGAGTGCTGGGGTTAGAGGCGTGCACCATCATGCCAAGCCAGACTGCTCTTCTTATAACTGTTTGCAGCTCAGGTGACAACTCCATCCTTCCTTTTTGCTTAGGTCAAAACCTGAGTCATGAGTCACCTTTAGCTCCCTCCTTGCCTTCTGCACCATGTCAGATCATCTGCAGACTGTGCTGTCCCTGCCCCCAGGATCCACTGAGCTTAGCTTGTCTCTCAGTGCCCCAAGTCTCTCAACTGGGTAACTCCCTTTTGCCCCAGTTTATCCTCAGCACAGGAGCTGCTATAGTTTGGATAAGTGTATCCTGGAAGAAGGAGATCTTAAGGGGGAAACAAAAGTTAGGTAATGGAAAAGAAGATAAACTACATGTTTTCTTTCACAGACAGACTCTAGACTTCAAACATGACAAAAGCAGGACTACTTGAAGAAAATGGGGACCAGGAGAAAAGAGACAAGGGACAGTAATGGGGGTATGAACAATGCATAACAATGTTATTAGTATTTAAATATTATTATGAAACCCATTATTTTTGTATGCTGAGTGAAAAATTATTAAAGAGTGTGTCATTTCTCAATTCTTAAAATTACCTGACAGATTTTCTCCCAAATTTCATCGCATCCAGCTTTTTCTTGAAAGCTAAGGGCCAAGTCATAATTTTCTGCTTCAGACCATACAATCAGAGTGTCCTTTGGGTTAAAAAAAAAAGTCTGAATGACTACATTTGTTATCACAAAATCATTAAGGTATATAGCAAATGAACAGAGCAACAAGGCAACAGGAATTAAGAACACTATTTTTCACATCCTGGGATTAAAGGTGTGAGTAATTATCAGTACTTTGTTACACTTCATTCTGGCCAAATCTATACAAGTGAAACAATATTTTAAAAATAGAAGTTTGGTCAATATATGAAAAACAATGTAAAATGCATACATAATACCTATATTCTAAAAAGAAAATACAAGCCATTGTACCAAGACCATCTTCACACATTACGTTTAAAAAAAAAAGGTTTATGTGTATTTTTTCTCTGCATGTATGTCTGTGCACATGTGTGCAACACCTATGGAGGTCAGAAAAGGGCACTGAATCCCCTGGAGCTGGAGTTACAGATGGTTATGAGTTGCCATATAGATGCTGGGTCCTTTGGAAGTAAGTGCAGCCACTGATCTTAACTGCTGAGCCTTCTTTCCAGCCACCACTGTATTTTATAATCTCATTAAAATGTCTACAAAGAAGTTTAAATAATGGATTAACAAACAAAATCCATGCCTCCCCTCAGCTGGCAACAGCTGTTCTTTACCTGTGGCTTATTTAGACTCTGAAATTATTGGCTAAATCAGGCATGAATGAGCCATGCCTCTAATCTAACACTTAGGGGGCTGAGGTAGGATGACTGCCTTCCTTGAGCCTCAAGCTAGCATGAGTGGCTCTAGCTGCTAGGCTCCACGTAAAGGAGGAGCATTCAATGTGGGTTCTTAAGGATACTAAGTGGCAATTCTGTCAGAGCACCAGCAAGGAGCACTGACCAGTTTCTAGAGCTAAGCTGAAGATCTTGGACCTGTCTTGCCCTTGGAGCAAGAGTCTACCAGATACATTTCCATATAGAAAGGCTTGAGTAGTAGGCTCCTTCTACCTAGCCCCTGGGAAGTCTTCTTCATGAGCCCAGCCTCTCCTGTGTCTCTCATGCAGCACCAAGGAGAGTGCCTGGCTCCTATTAGCTAAAGCCTGGACTCAGAAGTCCTATATTCTTGGCCAGCCTCTACCCAGAGGCTGAGTTCTTCCCAGAGATCCATGGAGATCCCTTAAACCCTAGAAGCCCTCAAGGCTTAGATCCGGAAGGACGGGATTCAAATGAGTACTTGAGCTTGCTAATTTCTGCCTCCTGCATGCAGTTGCCCTAACCTGCTAGAGGTAGACATTTGCAAGTCTCACTAAGCCCACAGTCCCCAGATCCTCCTGCTCAGGTACATTTCTGCAAGTTTCCCATCTAAAGGTGGGATTGGGGCTAATGGGTGTATTTCCTTCAGTGGTTGCTACCTTTGAACTCTCTAAAGCACCTACCTGCCCTTTCCAATACTTTTCAATGTAAAAATTCATGGTGTTTATGTTTGAAACAGGATCTTACCTACCCAGGCTTGCCTGCCTCAGCCTCCTGAGTACTGTGTTACAGGTATGTACCACCAGCATATTTATTCTATGCCCCACAGTAGTTATGTTTGTCTGTTTTGTTTTTCTTTGTCAAGGCCCTAAACTTTATAGCTAAGGCTTCTGATCCTCTTATCTCCCCAACCCCCCAAAATGCTGGAATCATAGGCATGTGCTACCACACCCAGCCCTACCAATACTAACGTCTGTCTGGTTTTATTTTAATTATATTTTATTTTATTTTAATTAATTTTTTCATGCTTGTACCTTTAGGGCAATAAAGCAATTTCTTTATTTCAATGGCTTTGTGGAGCACATTTTATTTGTGTATGCAAAATACTTGATAATAACAGTATATACTATATGAA